GCCTTTATCCATAAGTTCGTGTTAACTACACGTTGTACAACCACGATCGTGTGTGTGTGTGTGTGTATGTGTGTGTGTGTGTGTGTGTGTGTATGGGTGGTGTGTGTGGTGCAGGCGTGTGGCCGCCGTCCCTGGATGAATAACGTCCTTTTGGCGCGCGCGAGTTAAGCCGCTTTCAAAAATATGCTAGTACCTATAGCCCCGGTCGGTCGAGGTCTCGGGGCAGCACCGAGGAAAGACTTTGTCGGCGGCGATAATGTCGGAGGTGGTAGACTGTGGGTAAGGTCAAAGGCGAGCTCGCGGAAGAACTCCCCTTACCTAAAGGTTCAAAGGAGGAGGTCGGGCATTGTTAGTGGCGAACTTGTAAAGGGAGGGCGAACCCCCGGCACTCAGGCAAGTCGCGTCGTCGTCAGGCACGGTGAATTATCCCATATCGACATTACGGTTCATTGTAATCGGCCGCGGGGTTATCGATTTTTCATTTATAACCCGGGAAAGGAGAGGGAGGAGGGCTTTCCCGCGCGACATCGTCGAAGGCCGAAGAAGCGTATTTTTAGCGGCCCCCGCGCGCGCTTTCAACGGAACGCGTGAAATTTGCGGAAACGCGAAAATAAACCTCCTCGCCCACACGATGAAAGAAAAATAGTGTTACGCCACCGATTAATCCGCGAACTATCTTTATCGGCACAAATAAAATATTGTAAAATGACAGCGACGAGATATTTATATATCGGGATATAAAAAAAATACGTCTGGTGATCGAGATAGGTGATATTATCTGGCGCTCGATATACGAAACGACATATTTCGGAGAAGTGCCACACCGCCGGATATGAAAATTCCACTTTGAACAACAGTTTTTAATTTACTAGCGTAATCCTCACCTTCTATTAGTTCTGCTTTTCCCACTGGTCACGTAACTAACTAGCTTCCAACAAAGACTGCACCGCCCCGAGCAATAATGTTGAAGCCGCTCAGCTAAGTCAAAGGAATGTTCGAGCCCGTAGGTGAAGAGCGGCTCGACTTCGAGCAACGTGCTCGAGCTACTTTGACGAGGTTCTTCTTCAAAGTTTCCAAAGAACGATGTTAACAATGAATACAGCATAAATAAATTCTTTTGAAGTCTCGAAGGATCCAAGATTATGGCATTAGTAATTGATTGTTAAACGGGATGAAATAATATATCGATAAATCAATAATGTAACTGGCGCGAGCGCCGAGATCTTTAAATAATTGCACAAGAATTGGCCTAAATATAATTGAGTATTTGTTAACGACGGTTAATTGAATGTTCCCTGTCTGCTCTATTCATCGTAGATAAAATCGCGATTTAAAAGGAGAGAGAGAGAGAGAGAGAGAGAGAGAGAGAGAGAGAGAGAGTAAGTTA